GTCCCCACACCCTGAATCAGCCACAAAGTCCTCCCCCCATCCCTGCTCCTAGAGGTGCACCTCTACCACAGGGCACCATCCCACCATCAGGGCACCACAAAGAGCAGCAGCTCTCTCAAGGGCAGGGAGCCAAGGGGGTACCCCAGCCAGCAGAGCAGAGTCTGTCCCACCATACCTGAGCAAGATGAGTAGAGCAGGGCTGGAGAAGGCAGCCAGGTTCAACCAAGAGTTGAAATCATCAGGTAAGCTCATGGTGACAAGGCACACTTTGACATCAAGTGAGTCCATGAGGTCAAGGTACAGTTCAACAGAGGCCACAGCTGAGTAAGGGCTGAAAGGAAGGTGAGAACTCCTGCAGCTGAACTGAAATAGGGCTCCAGGGCTCATGGGTGGGGCTGGAGGTCTCAGGTGTGGCTGCTCAGGGTCATTAAGACTAATTAGTTCCCCATGGGTCCTGACAGCCACCTCCAGCCCAGGCCTGAATGCATTTCATGGTGCAGAGCTGCATTCATTTGCAGGAGGGTGAATGAGTGTGAGTGTCCCCATGGTAGGGAGATGTGAGAGGAACCTCTGAAATGCTCCTCCAGTTATTTCTCTGCTGTGTGACCGTACCTGTACCATCTGATTCCTCTCACATGATGACACACACAAACCCAGAGTGCAACTGACTCTTGATGGGATGGTTCAAAACTTACTTATCTGCAGGTTTAAATGCAGCGATTCAAGGCTTGAAGCAGAAGTGGCTATTTTTGTTTATCCACGCTTTAAGGACTGCCCTTCCAGTGGCTTTGACTAGAAAGCCATCAACATGTTCCCACAGTTCCCATCAACAGTTCCCACCATGAGGGATGGGTGCCCTGATCCGTGCCTCTCTCCAGACCACAAGGACATGCTGATCACACCAGTAAACTGATTTCTTGCCGTGACACAATATCATGGGACTTGGCTTTACTTTGGTGTTGCAGCTTTAAACAGTTAAAGGTTGGCTCCCAGGCAAAGCCACGCACTGGGATAACACCCCAAGATGAGCAGGAGGGCTGCAGATCAAAGGCCAGGAACAAGCTCCATTTTAGCTCACAGCTCTGGAGATCTGCTTACTTCTTATGAGTATCTCAAACTGGGAGGGCTGGACCTAAAGTTCCTGGTCAAAGGCAGTCCCAGAGCACACAAACAGCCCCAAACTTGGTTGCCATTCACTTAATCTTGGGCTGACCTCTTCCATCGTAGCAGCACTCTGTTGGTTCCCCTCATTCACAAGATCTTTGCTACGATCTAAGAAATTCATGCTTCTTAGGTTTTACCCATTGGCCCTTTCTCTTGTGACATTTGGGTATCATATGGACAGGAACAGGTCAGGCAGGAATGGGAGAGAGCAGAAGGCTGTGGAGGTAGGTGGCCACTGGCTGACCCAAAGCCTATGCCAAGAGGAACAAAGGGATGGAAGAGGATGAGCCTTGGACAAATCAAGGAGATGAATCAGGTACTCGAGACAGCTACGCTCAGTGCAAAAATGGGATTTTTCCACCCCTTAACTTCTTGCACAGAAAATAAATCAGAGAAGCCATTAAAGTTTAGCTGCAGAAGGAAGTTTTCAGAGTGCACCCTTCCAGCAGTTAAAAGCAAAAGCTGTGTCCTCCTTCTCGTGGTTTGATAAGGCTGTGGCATTTTGTTTCAACCCAGATCTGTCTTTCGTCTCAACAAATACGACTGAAGCATGAGCAGGAGACACTGACAGACGGATGATGGTCTTTAGCAGGATCTCACCCAGATGCTCACTCAAGGACTTGAGACTAAGCCTGATGTCCAAATGAAATCCTAGCTCCAGGCTGCAGGTCCATCGACCAGGTTTAAAGGTAGCGTGAAGACAAGGTATCAGTCTCCTTCTCATCTAATATATCAACAAGGAGTTGGTGTTTTCCTGAGCTGTGCCATGCCCAGGACCAGCCAATATTGCCAAGCTGCCTCCTGTGACGCTGGCGTGGGAACCAGTTAAGCAGAAGGGGCAGCAGAAGCCAAATTAATTATATTTGACAAGTGGTCTTTACAATGGAAGGGCAGTCTGTGCAAAGCAGGGTCCCACGAAGCCGTTGCTTGCCTGCACGGCGCTGGGTTGTACCGTGGCTTAATTTAGAAGTAGCAACTTTAATTTAAGTGACCCTTAAGATCAGCCTTGGAACTGAATTGTGTTCCAAGGACAGAAGTCGACTGTACCAGAAGATTGCTGTTTTCCTGGGGGTCTCTGAAGGGGGCTCTTTTGTCTCCAGGAGAACAGAAAGCCCCATTCATCCCTCTGTCACATGCAGAAACATGACTGTCCCAGAATAGGACTGCAGGAAACCTCCCCAGTGGGGCTGGGAGGAGAGGTGGGGTGTGGACACGTGTGCTCTGAGAAGAGACCAAGCCTCCAAAGGGTTAAAGGAGGCACCAACCAACGTGCCATGACTTCTGCTCTGAGTGGAGATGAGCTATTTGAGGTGCACATTTCCTGATCCATCCAGGGAGGGTGAGTGTGCAGAGGGGCAGAGTCACTTAGGGGATGGTGGGAGGTCACCCCCGATGCCCTCCAAGGAGACCAGCTGGTAATGAACCTCTTCGCTCCCACCCTGTCCCAGACCCAGTGTCACAGGCACCCCCCAAGGTATAGAAATGCATCACTGAGGTCCAGAGTTGACTCTGGGACAGATGTTTGCAAGCTGGAGACATCTATGAGCGTTACTGACCAAAATAGAGCTGACTGCCCATAAAGCAAGGCCACCTAGCCCAGGCCACCAGCTTGGCTTTAATCTCTGTTTCCACCCTCAGAAGCCCATGTGGTCTGCCCCACACTAAGAAGACATGGTCAAGGAAGACTGAAGTTGGAGAAAACAAAGCAAAATGGCTGAGTCTAATCACCACGTGGCAATGTCCTCAATGAAAGTGAGAAATGGGATCCTCAAGCAGACTCCATAACAGCCTTCTCCCCCCCTCAACAAACCCCATAAAGTGACAATAAAACATTCAACTTAAAAAAATAGAACAAGAAAACCAGATCCCTCGACACCTGTCCGTCATGGGTGTTGCTTCTGGCACCTGAGCTGGTTGGACCAAAACGCTGCTGGGCACATCTCTGTCCCTGTGCTACCACCCCACTGTCTGCAGAGCAGGCATCTGCCACCACCTGAGAGGCCACGGAGAGACAGGAGGGTGACAGATCCCTCAGATGCACTCCCCAGTTTGGGATGGTTAATAGGATGAGGAGAGAAGGGTCTGAATGGAGCTTTTGTTCTCCGCTCCTCCGGGTGAGGAGCCGTCCCCAATAAACAAGGGTACGCGGTAAATAAAGCCATAACTTTTCTGGGGATTATCCACAGCTCTGGTTCATCAGATCTTCAAGGAATCATGGGAATGATTCAGTGGAGAAACACAGATAACTTATTTTCACACAAAGAAGGAAGAATGTTCCCAAACAACTAATATAGATTATCTCTACCCCATTTACAAATCCCCGCCACTGAGAAAAGCCAGGCTGGCCAAATTCTCATTGGCATCTTTGGCCAAATCTCAAGATTCTTAAATATCAGAATTTAATCCATTCTCAAGTCTGAGAGAAAAAAGACTCTTAGAAACTTTCAGAGAAAAAAGAGCTCAGAAAAAAAGACTGTAACAGGGCATGCATATAACAGTATTTCATTGTGAACTTCTGTGGCTCCCCCACAGGTACCAGAGATCCTGCAAAAATTCCCCCATGATCCCCATGAAAAGGGCTGAAAATGGAAAGCCACAAACCTGAATGTTGGAGGCAATTCTAAACCAATGAAGTAGCATCTCTTCTGTGCTACTGCCCGGCAAATGCCAACCATAACACTAGAAAGTTTTCCCTGCTGAGAGTCGTCTCAATTGTCATGGTCTGATCTTCATCAGCTCTCGGAATTAGAAGTCCTTTATTAATTCCAAGAGCTGTTCCTCACTGATTTAGTTCTTCTTATGCTTCAGCACTAAGTAATTTTGTTCTTTTCTCAGTTCCTAAAGGAGACTTGGTCAATCTTTTCTGTCTTCTGAACTTTACCCAGTTTAGAGACCAAGTTCCATGCCAAGTCCAGGACAAAGTTCCTCAGAGAGACAGAAGAGATTTACTTGCACATTCCACATTAATGAGGATTTATTTGTCTGTGCCTCCAAAGGGCAAAATGGGGGGGGGGGAAATGGCCACAAGTTGCATCAGGGGAGGTTTGGATTAGATATTAGGAAAATTTTTACACTGAAAGGGTTGTCAATCCTTGGAAGAAGCTGCCCAGGGCAGCGGTGGAGTCACCATCCCTGGAGGGATTTAGAAGCTGGGCAGATGTGCTGCTGAGGGATGTGGGTCAGTGGTGGGTTTGTCAGCGTTGGGTTGATGGTTGGACTTGATGATCTGAAAGGTCCCTTCCAGCCAAAATGATTCTACGATTCTAAAATAAAAACATGTGAAAAGGCACCGGTGCAACTTCTTGTAGATGGTCTGAAACCTGTTCTCAGCCTACTTCACCCAGACCAGGGCTTGGGGAGACCACATTAGAGGTAAAAGTGAGCCTTGTCCTTCCCCAGCACCTCTGTAAGGACTTCTTATACTCTGACCCCTCTGCCTTTCTTGTAGTCCTCATCTTGCTCCCCAACATTTCCTCAAAAGCCCAAGTGGAGCAGCTGGCTTTATACACCCTGGGCAGAGGAGGCTTTGCTGTCTCCATCCTCCAGCCCTGGAGTCCTCAGCACAAGAAGGGCATGGGCATGTTGGAGCGAGGCCAGAGGAGGCCACGGAGATGCTGGGAGGGCTGGAGCCCCTCTGCTGGGAGGGGGGGCTGAGAGAGTTGGGGGGTTCAGCCTGGAGAAGAGAAGGCTCCGGGGAGACCTTAGAGCCCTCAAGGGGCTCCAGGGAAGCTGGGGAGGGACTCTGGATCAGAGTCCTCCCTCCTTCCCTCCCTCCCTCCTCCTCTGATTTATTTGTTTATTATTTTCATCCCCTTCCCCGAGCTGTCCCGCGTTTCTGCTGCTTCTCCCTCCTCCTCCATCCCCATCCCAGGCATCGCCCATTGGTCGCGGGGGCTGCGCTCGGGGGGAGCCCTGTGATCTTCTATATAACCCATCCCTCGGTCCAGAGAGACCTCGGCAAGTCACGAGAGGGGAGAAACCTTCCCCCGAGCACAAAAAAAGCGCACACAAACCCCAGCCCCAGGATCTTTGACTCTCCCAGGTCCTGTGGGACATCCCGGCTGCCGAGCGGTGGGATGGAGCCGTGAGAGGGGAAGAGACTGATCCCAGGAGAAAGGTAACTTAACTCCCATGAAAAGCTCTGCTGTTCCGCGCACTCATTTGCAAACAAAAAATTATTTTGTTGCTCCAGGGTGAGTTTTTGCACATTTTTCAGACCCCCCCACTCTGGGGAGGAGGCGTTGAAGGGACCACGGTGCCTGAGCAAGGTCCAAGAGGTGGGCAGGGAGAGGGTGGACTAGAAGAAATTCAGCACACCTCCGGGGGGGGGGGAAAGGTCCCTCTGCTTGTGGGCCAGGTCAGGGAAGCAGCTGGGGATGTGGTGTTATCACCTGCTTTTCTCCCTCCTTTCCCTGACCTGTGGCATTTTTGCTGACGGAGATGTTTATCCACTGAAAAGGTCTGGTGGGTGTTTGGTGGGGTTGGTCTGACAGGGGAGCACCGGTGGAGCTGCTCTCCAAGGCAGCCTGTCCTGGGTCCAGGCAGGGACAGCAGGCAGCATGACACGGTGGCTTGGGATGAAGATGCTGCCTGGGATGTTGTGGGCTCTCCTGGGCTACCAGACACGAGGAGCCACAAGCCCACTGGTCCGTGCATGGCTCCTTTCAGACAGGAACAGGTCGTGCAGGGCTGTGGAGATGGTTTCCAGTTTCCTCTCCTCTCTGGGAATCATTCTCTGGTGTCCATGTCATGACTCCAATGGTTTCAGCTGCCGTTTGGACTCAGCACAGTGTGGCATTTCCATGTCCATGTGTCCAAGCTATTCGCCAACAGAGGAGCCCCAGAAGGCAGGTGGGATGGGGATGGCCCCTTCGGGCACCAGGTCCCTTCCCCAGAGGGTCGGCGACACGAGCAAAACTCAGAGGATTTGGGGTCAAGTGATGCTGGTTTTGGCTTCTCATCTTCTGGGCACTGAACAAGCTTCTTGGTGCTCCTGTGCCTCAGTTTCCCCTGCAACTGAGAAAGGGTTATGCTTTCAAGCACTCTGAGATGCGAGGGGCAGCTGGGAGGGCAAGAAGTAAATAGGCTGTTTGAAGAGGAGAAAACAATGCTCCTCTTTTATGAAATTGCTGGATTTTAAGGCGAGACGGGGGAGAAGGGCTTTTTTTCTTCAGTGCTGTGGCGGGGCCGTGTCCTGTGATCCTCCTCACATGAGCTCTTCTGCCAAACATCCAGGGGCTGAACGGTCACCCCGGGCTCTGCAGCCCTGCACTGGGGACAGCAGAGAAGAGCAGCCCCAGCTGTGGAGGGGACAGGACACAACCTTCCAGGGACCCTCTGGTGCCCCTCTCTCACCAACTGCAGAGGGGACAGGACACAACCTTCCAGGGACCCTCTGGTGCCCCTCTCTCACTGCTGGCTCCAGGAGCCACCACCTTTCTCCAAGCCCCCAGGCAGCCCTCCATGGCAGAGACTTGTCTGTGCCACCCAGAGCTGCTCCCTGAGACCTGCCTGGACCCTCAAAGGTCCCGGGCAGGAACTCTGAGCTGGGGAGGAGATGGGGAGGAGAAGAGGACATCGGTCAGGGCACCCACCCATGAGACAACCGCCCTGGTGTATCTTGGGCAGGACAGAGAGCTGAGGAACTCAGCAAAGGTGCAGCTGAAGTCCCTGCACCAGGTCAGAGCAGGAATTTGTGCCCAGGTCTCCAATGAGTCAGGTTTGTGTTATTTCAGGTTATTTATCCATTCTCTCCCTTTCTTTCTCACATCCCCACCCCTTCCCAAAATAGCTGGGTGCCCACCACCTGAGCAGGAGTCACAACTGAGAATGGCATCAAACCAGGTCAGAGCAAAGCCCACCCTGGTCAGCTGTCTCCAGGACAGCAGTTGGAGCAGATGCTTAGCTAAATACTGGGAAGAAGGTGGTGTTGGAGACAAGGTCCCAGATTTGGGATGTGCTGGGACCAGGGAGGGCACTGGGAATTTCGTAGCCACCCAAAGACCAAGATAGTTCCAGTGAGCAGGTGGGAACGTTCCCCTCCACACACCGACTGGTGACAACGTTGTGAGTCCCCAGCTTTGGCCAATGCATCTCCAAAGGGTTTTTTGTGGAAGGAGGCTCCTCCTTGTCCAGGTTCCTTAATAACCAGCTCAGCTTAGTCCCTTCCCATAGTGTTTTGTACTGAGTGTCCAAGGGGACACACTGGCCACCCCACCACCCCCTCCTCAGGAAACCAGCTCTGTCCATGCAGGAGGCACAATATGGGCTGAAGGTTTCCCCTCGTTTTTAAGGTCACAGACATCCCTCGGTGATGGGACACCCACCTACCTCTGAGAGCAGGGTGCTTACTGGCCAGATGTGGGTGAGACTCTTCTCTAAATGTTCTCCAAGTCACTGAAAACTACTCTTTATTTGTTTTTTTTTTCTGAGGGAGAGGCAGGCGATGCCTGCTCTGGCTCACAGCGACGCCGCTCATCTGCAAGATAAGTTTGCAAAGCGGTTTGAGTCTGTCTGGATGAAAGGCAGGGAGAAGACAAGAGGCAGGATTGGCGAGCACCAGGCATGAATATTTCAGCAGACACAAACAGGCTGCTGGGGAGCTGGAAGGAAAACTGACGGGATCTTTAACTTTCCCGCGGTGAAACCCTGTAAGCTGCTGTTACAAGGATTCAAACCAGTGAAGAAATGTCTTTAAAACATGGATTTTTTTTAACAGAACTGAAAACTTAACTCTCTAGTTCGTGAGGTCTAAACTGTGGTTGAAGGGGTTTGGTTATTTTATTGCCTATATTTGGCACATAACTGGAAATAAATTTTAGGCTTCCCCCTAGCACTGCTTGTTTACAGTTTAAAGCACCAGGGACCTGACCGAAGAACGTAGGAGGGTCAGGAAGGACTGAGCCTGATTTAGATTTTTCTGGCAAGAGCAGTGGGGTGAAACTGAGAGAAGGGTAGGTCTGGTTAGGCTGCCTTGTGGGGAAAGAATCCAACCTCACGCTGGTGATGCCTGGAGCCTTCTAAACGAAGGCTCCAAATCTGGAGAAGCTGTGGTTGTACCTGGTGGGACTCATGGTTGGCTTGGCCATGCCCCCGAGCTGGTCCTGGGGTGCCCCCCTGGTCCTGGGCAGGGGGAATCCTGCTACAACCCAGGAGCTGGGTTCACCTTGGCTGAATGATCCTGGAGAGCAGATCCCCAGGTTCCAGCTGTGCTCAGATCCCAGCTCTGCCTGGTGGGGTCAGAGCAGAGACTGACGTCCCATCTCTAGTCCCAGGCAGGCACCCCCACCCCTGCCTAACGGAGGTGCAGAGCACATCCTGGGGAAGCCCAAAAAGGCTTCTGTTTCTACAATTTTCCCTCCCTTCAAGGCTGTAAATGTTCATAATTTCAAAAACATGTTCTTCACCTCCTCTAAGCGAGAGCCCCAAGGTCTGTCCCCGTCTGTGGCACGGACAGTGCCGGGGCACAGACTGGCAGGGGGCTGCCACCTCCCTCTCCGGCCTCACTTCCCACTGGTGGCCACATCTGGATCACCCAGAAGCTCCTTCCACAGATTCCCCTCATGCCAGGACGGCGTCAATGCCATCCCCAGCTGTGCCAGGTGGCTGTGGAGCAGCAGGTTGGCCAGTCCTGCCCGAGAGCATGGTCTGAGATGTGCCAGGACCCACTGTGGTGGTGTTCCTCAGCGGTGCTCCAGCCTGGGCGAGCTTGAGAGACCTTCTCATGGATCCTGTGCTCAGCAGCCAGAGCTGCCAACAGCAGCAGGAGATTTATCTCCCTGAGCATGGAGCTGAACGGGCTGGGTGGATTGGGAAAGGAAGCGGTTCAATTGTGGAGGGTGAGGCTGGGGAAGGGGGGGCTGTGCTGCTCGCACAGAAATTGGAATAAGATGTCAGGTGTCGACACGGCATTTCTGGAAAAAACCCTGGTAGTGTTTTCCCATCAGGGTTCCCAGCAGGAGCCTTTTTGCTCTGCAGGGAACGTGGCACAGGGCAGCCCAGGGGATCTAGGTGGAACTGGGTGGTCTTTAAGGTCCCATCCAGCCCAACCCTATGATCTGCTGAAGGGTGGGACGTTTGTGCGGCCCCAGTTTTCCCATGGACTGGAAGAGAAGGTCTGCTGGTTCTGTGCCCCCCAAGGTGGGCAGGCATCGACAGGGAAGGTGCCCCCCAACTGCTGCTCCAGACGGTCAGGAACTGAATGAGGAGCGTGGGGTGGGCACAAAGGGGAAGTCAGGTTTGGTGTGTGAGCAGCAATAGGTGCAGAAGGTGCAGCAGCTGATTCAAGACACCTACTTGAGAAGGCCCTAGAGGTGCCCTCCTTTGCTGAAACACTGTGTAAAAGGCATAAGAGACTGTTTGGTTTCCTTTTAGTTTGTTTTACCCAACAAGGACGTTTAAATTTATCAGCAAAGATTCCCACCCACGGAGTCAGCTGCTTTGACCAGATGGGATCTAATCTGGCATTTCTTCCGATCTCTGTGATGATGGACTTTGTTCAGCAGTTCCTTTCATAGAATCATTTAGGTTGGAAGGGATCTTTAAGATCATTGAGTCCAACCGTTAACCCAGCACTGCCAAGTCCACCACTAACCCGTGTCCCTCAGCACCACATCTGCCCAGCTTTTAAATCCCTTGAAGGGATGGGGACTCCACCACTGCCCTGGGCAGCCTGTCCCAAAGCTTGACAACCCTTTACTCCAGGCTGAACCACCCCAGCTGCCTCAGCCGCTCCTCAGAAGTTCTCCAAACCTTTCTCCTTGTGCTCCAGACCCCTCACCAGCTCCATTCCCCTTCTCTGAAGGGATGGGGACTCCACCACTGCCCTGGGCAGCCTGTCCCAAAGCTTGACAACCCTTTACTCCAGGCTGAACCACCCCAGCTGCCTCAGCCGCTCCTCAGAAGTTCTCCAAACCTTTCTCCTTGTGCTCCAGACCCCTCACCAGCTCCATTCCCCTTCTCTGGACACGCTCCAGCACCTCCATGTCTCTCTTGTCGTGAGGGACCCAAAACTGGACACAGTATTCGAGGTTCCTCCTTCCCCTGATAACTAAGTTCTCTCCCTTGCCCCTTTCTCCAGCTGCAGATCCAACCAAGACCCAAGCAAGGACATTCCACGAGCACTACAAGGTCTTCTACGGGCAGCTTTGCCATTCTGTCCTCAATGGCAAGAATCCCAGGTCCCATGGCTGTAGCCATTTTCCTCACTTGCCTCTTCTCCGGGGCACACGGCCAGACCCCAAGGGCTTTCCAGGAGAGCACCGTCCCCTTTGAGGTGCTTGGCCAGGAGCAGGCTTACAGTCTGGTCCAGCCAAGCCTGTTCCAGGATGCCAAGCTGTCAAACCACTCGGAGACCCTCCCCAGGGCCACCAGCTCCGAGCCACCCCTGCTGCCCGTCTGCGTGAAGCCTGCAGACATCCGACACATCTTCAAGTACATCAACACCATCGTGTCCTGCACCATCTTCATAGTCGGGATCATCGGGAACTCCACGCTCCTGAGGATCATTTACAAGAACAAGTGCATGAGGAACGGGCCCAACGTCCTCATCGCGAGCTTGGCGCTCGGGGACCTTCTCTACATCCTCATTGCTCTGCCCATCAACGTGTACAAGGTAGGCTACGCGTGGCATGAGTGCTGGTGCCCACTCTCACCTGCCTCGGTGCCCTGGGGGATGTCGGTCCCCTGCTCTTTATTGCAGGCTCCATTTTTGCAGGGGAGAGGGTTTTTTCTCATCCAAAGGATGAGAAAAGGGGCAAAAAGCTCAGAGAACATTGCTGGGAAAGCAGAGGTGATCTCAGCTACAGCTGTGTTATGTGCACACACACACACACACACACAACCTTCCAGATCTTTTAAATCTCATCTAAAAACCACAAGAAAGGACTCACTTGCAGCCTCCTGACATTACAACCCCATGTTTATTTCAGCTGAGTGAAAAATTACTGTTCTTGTGCACTGGGGACACTTCTCCCAGCACAGTTCAGTTATCCAGCCTCAAGCAAATACCTTTTTTTATTCTAGCTAAACGTGAAGACTCACCCAAGACCAAGGAAGAGGGCTGTATTATAAACCAGGGGCTTCTTTCAGAGACATTGTCCCCTGAATGAGAGACAAGAGGCACAACAAATCATCAGGAATAGCCAGGACTCCCCTAGGCCACCTGAGAAACCCCTCTCCCTTCTGCCCCTCTCGCTAGATCTTTTAAATCTCATCTAAAAACCACAAGAAAGGACTCACTTGCAGCCTCCTGACATTACAACCCCATGTTTATTTCAGCTGAGTGAAAAATTACTGTTCTTGTGCACTGGGGACACTTCTCCCAGCACAGTTCAGTTATCCAGCCTCAAGCAAATACCTTTTTTTATTCTAGCTAAACGTGAAGACTCACCCAAGACCAAGGAAGAGGGCTGTATTATAAACCAGGGGCTTCTTTCAGAGACATTGTCCCCTGAATGAGAGACAAGAGGCACAACAAATCATCAGGAATAGCCAGGACTCCCCTAGGCCACCTGAGAAACCCCTCTCCCTTCTGCCCCTCTCGCTTCCAGCCGTCTCCTGGGGGAGAAATTGTTGCTTGTTGGAGAACTGACTATGAGCAACCTGGTCCTAAGAGTGGCCCAGTTCCCTTGTGGTGTGTCTCCCTTGTGATGGATGAGATGGGTGGAAAACCCAGGTTTGCAGACCAGCAGAAAGGGTAGGGTTGGTGGGTTGCCTTCACCTGGGACCCTGATGTCCGGGAGAGCTTCTGGATTGATTTTTCTTGCTGCTAAACTGAAGAGCTTGGGTGAGGGGGTGGTTCTGAGTAGGGATAACTGTAGGATGGGCTCCAGGTGTCATGGGGATACGAGGGTTGTGAACCCAGGCTCACTCTCTTCCTCATGAGCAAGTGGCCTGGATTTCTCCTGCCTTCAGGGAATCTTGTCCCACCAATACCCTCTGCTCCCCCCAACTGAGCTTGGGGCCACAGAGTGTGTGTTGTACCAGGAACCTGAGTGTGGTAGAGGGTCAGAGTGTGGGAAGGGCTTAAGCCTACGTGGCTTTGAAAGCCACCTGAAAGAAGCTGTCCTTGCTGGACTTGGGCTCTGCCAGAGAATGACACCCATTTTCCCTGTGAAAGCAACCCAAAGCCCACTGTGGTGTTTAGGATTCAGAATCCACCCAAAACCACCCAGGGTTATGGATTCAGAACCTGGACCACCCTTCCCTCTGTGTGACAGCCCATCTCACAACCAGCCCTCGGGGAAACGGATGGTTCCCAGTTCAAACCAGAGAGCACACACCACATAACCCCAGTGGAGGCAACCTCAGAGTGCTTTCTGTGCTCCTTGTGGGTTTCTCACACCTTGTGGGCAACCACCTGCTATTATGGGAAGCCGGACACGCTTCCCCGAAGCAGCCTGTTAACCTTGAGGTTCTTCTTCCCCAGCTCTTGGCCAAGGACTGGCCCTTTGGAGTGCAGGTGTGCAAGCTGGTCCCCTTCATCCAGAAGGCCTCGGTGGGCATCACGGTCCTCAGCCTTTGTGCCCTCAGCATCGACCGGTAAGAACCCACTTCTGCAGCTGCACTGACCCATCTCTGACCATGGCATGTCCTTCATTGTAACCACAAGGCAGACGGCAGAGTGGCTTGGTCCTTGGCCAAATTAAGAGGTGGGGACATGGTGCTGTGACGTAGAGTTGGAATCCAACGGGAACTGGCTCTGGTGACAGAGTTCAAATCTTGCAGCAAAAGGTCGAGGGGAGGATCATGGTGTGATGGAACAAGTCCTGGGGTGGTGGGGAAGGGTGGCACCTCCCCAGTGGCAGGTTGGCCAAGGATAGCTGCCATCACACTCATCATAGAATCATCTGGGTTGGAAGGGACCTTTTAGATCATCAAGTCCAACCATCATCCCAACACTGACAAAAACCACCACTAAACCATATCTCTGAGTGCTCTGTCTGCCCGTCTTTTAAATACCTCCAGGGACGGTGACTCCACTGCTTCCCTGGGCAGCCCTTTCCAATGCTTAATAGCCATTTCAGTGTAAATACTTTTCCTAATATCTATCCAAAAGCTCCCTTGGTACAACTTGAGGCCCTTTCCATTGAGCTTCTGTTTCTGGTCTTTCCCATTCCACTGAAGGGGAAGGCTCCGGGGTGGAGGAGGAAGGCAGAAGGGACGGGGTCTTTGGGGACAACTCTAATCTCAACCCCTTCCTGAGGGTTGCTTTTCTCACCCCAATCTCCTCCCGTTGCACTCCCATGTGCTGGGCAGGTACCGAGCAGTGGCCTCCTGGAGTCGGATCCAGGGGATAGGGATCCCCATGTGGAAGGCGGTGGAGGTGATGCTCATCTGGGTGGTGGCCATCGTGCTCGCGGTCCCCGAAGCCATAGCCTTCGACATGGTGGAGCTCAGCTACTGGGAACGCCACCTGTGGGTGTGCATGCTGGCCTCCGAGCAGAAATCCAGCTTCATGATGGTACGTACTCTGCAGACACGGGCAACCAGGGCATCCTCCTTCCTCAGTTAAAGGATTAGGTGCTTCTGTAGATGAAAGTGCAGAAGATCCAGCGTTGTGGCGACGTGGGGCAGCCTCGCCTGGACTGTGGGGCCAGAAAACAGGCGGCTGTTTTGAAACCAGCTTTTACTTCTTTAGGTTAAACGTGTGGCCCAGCCTTGGGGGCAGACAATCCCATGCACCCTTAGCACAGGAGCTGCTGCACTTTCACACATCAGAAGTGTCTGACCCAGACCAGCACTGGTGTCAGGGACCAGGCCAGTTCCTGCCCCAGTTACGTCCCCCTCTCTCCCCAATTTCCCATTGCCCTTTCTTTTACACACAGTTCTACCGGGACGTGAAGGACTGGTGGCTTTTTGGCTTCTATTTCTGCCTCCCCTTGGTGTGCACCGGCATCTTCTACACCCTCATGTCCTGCGAGATGTTGAGCAAGAGGAACGGCATGAGGATCGCTCTGAACGACCACATGAAACGGGTGAGGAAACCAAGAGGGCAGAAACTCTGACATTTCTCCAAACTGTGGGTGTGTGGGCTGTCAAAGGGGAGAACACAGACCTGCCCCTGGAAAGGACAGGAATGAGCTGACACAGCCTCACAGCGGCCAACACATGATGGCACATTGATGCAGATGCTCAGACTAAACCAGGGAGATGGCCTTTCAGCTCTAAATCTCCACTCTCAGGGACAACCCAAACCACCTGCCTGATGGCCACGGACCAGCCCAGGTCACACCCAGCTGGAGCGAATGCTGCATGTGCCACATCACAGACAAAGGGTGCAAGGAAAAGGATAGTTAACTGTCCCCCTCCCACAGAACAACCCCTTGAGGGACACCAGCTGGTTGTCACAATAATATAGAGTGAAGGGTGGGTGGATGAGGCCCCCACATCCCAGCAAAGTCACCAGGAGCAATGGTGGGAAGGGGCGTGAAGGAATCTGGTCCCTGTTGTGCTGCTGATACCCCCTACCCCTTCCTACAGCCTGGATCTTGGGGTCCTCCTTATGAAAGAGGAATTGGGACCTGCAGGATGTTCTTTGGAGTCAAAGGGGTGCCCAGCCCTCATCAGAAATTACTGGAAGGGCCCTTGCTGAAGGTGGGGAGGTGGTGCTTTGCTCCACTTGCTCTCCAACGCTCAGCCAGACCATCCCTTCTCCCCTGCCCACCTTCTCTTCCCAGCGCCGGGAGGTGGCCAAGACCGTGTTCTGCCTCGTGGTGATCTTCGCGCTCTGCTGGCTGCCGCTCCACCTCAGCCGCATCCTCAAAAAGACCATCTATAACCAGACGGACCCCAACAGATGTGAACTGCTCAGGTGAGGGCACCAGCAGGAGGGCACAGTGCTGGGAGCACTGGTGGCCACTGGCAGAAGCTCTGCTGGGCTCACTGCAGGCTGCTGGAGGTGCCTTCCAAACACCCTGTTTCAACAGTTCCTTTTCTAGATGGCGTGGCTCTCCTGACAGGCACAGAGAAAGGGTGGGGGGGACCATAAGAGAAGAAGAAATTAAATTTTGAAAAGTCTCTATAAAGCTATGGGCTAAAGAGGTCTTCTTTAGTTCTCCACTCAGGGAGCTTCCAACACATTCCACCCTCTTCTCTCCCCTCTTACCTCAGTTTCCTCTTGGTGATGGACTACTTTGGGATCAACATGGCCTCCCTCAACTCCTGCATCAACCCCGTGGCTCTCTACTTCGTCAGCCGGAAATTTAAGAACTGCTTCCAGGTAGGGTTGACCCCTCCAGAGCTCCTGGAGATAATTTTCAGGAGTAGTGGAGCCCTGAGAAAGGAAGGGGATGGGACGGGGTGGGACGGGAGTCACCTCCCAGCTGCTGTGGCAAAAAGAAGAGTTGAGCCCAGCTAAGCATTACCCATATTCACTGCCCCCCAAGGACAAGACAACACAACTGCACAAGATACCCAAGATCTGGGTGTCTTAATTCCCAATCCCCACCAGCCCTACCTTGGAAAACCTGCTCCCAGCAGATCTGTGGGACAGGAAGGCTGGGAGGAAGCATGGGCTGCAGTTCCCAGCCTGGCACCGCACGGGTTGCCTTGCCAACATCAGCAAGGGAACATCTCCTCCTCTTCTACCCTGTAGCCCTCACTTGTGACCCCTCTCTCCTGTCTCCCCCCCCAGTCCTGCCTCTGCTGCTGGTGCCAGCGACCGGCTCTGAGCATCACACCCACGGACGAGAAGGGCTCCGTTGGGAAGTGGAAAGCCAACGGGCAGGAGCTGGGGCTGGACCGGAGCAGCTCCCGCTTGAGTAACAAGTACAGCTCCTCCTAAAGCCGTGCCACCGGGGGCCGAGAGGAGAAGGCACCGTTGCCCACGAGGGCAGGACCCCTCCGTTTTCTGGCTGGGCCTGAATCGTTTGTGCCTTCGTGCCGTCACCCACCTGGAAGGAGCTGCAGCACCTCCCGGACCCCCTGGGACTAGCTCTGAACCACACCGACCCGTCCTCCGGGCCCAGTCACCTCTGGAGGAAGGGCATTCAGATCCTCGTAGGATTTTTCATTTCCTTGCAGGATTCTTCACTTCCTTGCAGGAAAACCAAGTGACTTGCGGCCATTTGTCTCGGGTGGGGGAGATGTGTGTGAAAAGGGAAGGCAGGCTGAGATCTGGTCACCTTGAGATGGATGTGGGTCGAGGAGGAGAGGGAGAGGGACCACGAGTCACAATTTCCAGCTGAAAAAGCCAAAGAAAAGCTTCGGTAACAGCCCTTATCACCTCCCCCTGTTGCTGGGATAGTTTGTCCCTGGGCAGAGCCAGGATAAGATCTGGGCACCTTGTATGTCTGGTAGACCATCAGTGGCCTGAAATCTCCACCTGTTGATGGCAGGGAGAGAGGGGCAGTAACTTGGCCTCATGGTGTGACCAACCTGACCTGGGGAGCCCCACCAGGCCCCCTTCTCTTCACCTTTTCCTGGGAAATCTACCCCAGGCTCCCTACCTCGTGTACGACACAGGAAAGTGATGGGGACCAGACATCCTGGGCAGAAGCATCCGGCCAAACCACTGGCTCCAGCTTCCCCTTCCCCAGCTCCTGGTGGCCCGGCACCGTTGCTGGCCCAGGGGTACATCCTTCCAGGGAAGGGTTTGGGAGCCCGGGAAAGGGAAGGCAGAGGTGGCTCAAATCTGGAGGAGGCTGGGACCAAGGATCTCACCTTCCCAACCCTCTGTGGTACCTGGAAGCAGCCAGTTCTCTCCTTGATGCAGGAGAGGATCCCAGAGACATGCCCTTCCAGAAGAGAATCCAGCCTTGATCCGAGGTCTTCAGCAGCTGGAAAGCCCACAGCCTCCTCCAGCTGCCAGCTCCTGGGAGGGGGGTCACACACAAGACCATGGATCTGAAGGGAAAAAAGAGGGGCTGTGTGTTTTGATGCCTGGGATTCATCTCCCTCCTGCCAACGAGGCTCCAACGGGGCAGCTGGACCCCGATGTGTCTCGGCCACAGCACCAGGACACCAGGGTTCACGCCGTCTCTGAGGAGGACAGAGACATTTGTCCCCCTCACCATCAAACTAAGGTGGAAAAGGCAACGGGGAAGGTCTGACCTCAGCTGAAAGAGCTGCTGGAGACAACTGAAACACAGCAAAGGGCTTTCATAAATTTACTATTCAAAAGAATTAATCCCCGAGTGCTTTTCTAGCATGGTTTTTTAAAAAACCCACACTTGCACCTCATGCCAGAAGTTTAAGAAAACCTTTACAAGAAAGTTTTGGTTACCAAGTTCTTTATGATTTTTCTGTTGTTTTTTCTTCTCTCCTTTACCTCTCTCTCTTTCTTTCTTTCTTCCTTCCCCTTTTCATCTTGTCATGGAAAAAATGGAGAGAGGAAAAAGGGAGAAGAGAAAAGACCTGTAAATAAAGCAAAAACATTTTCCAGGTGTTGGGGGTTGTTTGGTTTTTCCAGCTCAGCTTTTACTGAAATGCAACCGTTTTACACCCAAATCACGTTTCTGAAAGACAAAGGGGTTTCAACAAAACCAGAAAGACTGAGGAATATTTAAACCAGCTTCCATAAACTCACCTACCCCCTAGAGCAGATTTATCTGCAGCAATTTCTGCTGCTCTGCCCTGCCCCGGGACTGGCTGCGCTTTGAGGGTGGGCACAGAAAGTTCCCCAGAGAGAGTTCCCTGCTGTGTCCCAGCCCCGTGTCACAGCCTGATTTAACCACCCCCGGGTTTCAGCACGAAGAGACCAGCCCAGAGAGGATTAACCAAAACCAGCACCACAGCAGTTACCCACCACGGATGGGGGACCCCGGTGGCGTGGGCAGGATGAATCCCCAGCAGCAAACCACGGGGTCCATTTGGCCTCCCAGCCCCAGCCCTGCACACACAAACCCACCAGCAGCCTGTCAGAGACCCACTCTGTCAACTCCTATTTGAAAGGAGGGTTTTATAGAGAAAAACCTGACGTTTCATACCCTCCCTCTCATTCCTCTGTGTGTTAATAAAACATGGTGGTGTTTGAAAAGAAAAATCTCCGGGTGTTTCTTATTAAGCAGCAGGGGGTCTGCAAAGTCTGCTAAATACTTAATTGAGTGTCAGCAGGTTCCTTTGGTAAGCACAGACCTCCAGGGAGGAGACAAGCCACGTCCCTCTGGTGCAGAACAAGCCCGAGAGGTTCCCAATCCTCCCAGGAAGAACTTCCACAGTTTCATGCCACGTTACACCCCACAAAGGCCTTCCCTTGGAGCGTGGCCAGCAGAACCCAATGGGGCTGGGGTTTCAGTGTTGGACCCTTTAAATCCGCCCAGGAGGAGCTTGCCTTTCTCTGCATTCTTCAGAGGGGGTAAAAAAGGCAAGGGGTTTCTTATTCCTCTCACCCCCCAAACGAGCAGAGCATCATCTTACAGTGATCTGTTTAAAAAGAAAGGCTGTTTGTGTATCTGTTTGAAGTCAACTGTGCTGGTGCCAGTCACAGAAAGATTTAAACAGGGAGCTGCCTCTCCAAAAGCTTGATTTCACACAGCACTGAACCCCTTTTGTTCCCTGTGGACTCTGGGACGGAGCAGTTCTGTGAGGATCTGCAAACTCTGTGAGCTGAGAAACCTGGGCAGGAAAAGGCAACGACGCTTGGAGGGGGCAAGAAATAAGATGGAAGAGTGAGAGAGCTGCTCTTCCAGCTGTCACCTCCCACACCTGGGACAGCTGAGCACGGTGTCACCTCTGCGCCATCGAACTTCATAAACTTTATTATTAGAAAAAATACAGGTTTGCATCAGAGACACCATAAAAAAAACTCACAATCAAACAAAAACACCCTTGACACAGGGCATTTGACACCCAGACGTCACACACACGGGGACGGCCAGCCCCAAACGCTACTGCATCTCTTCCTCCCTCTGGGCCCTGAACTCCTTCATGCTCTTCTGCAAACAAAAACAAAACCAAAGGACAAATGTTAACAGCAAATATCTGAGTGAGTCACACACCACCCTGCCACCACCCTGGGCCGGGCTGCGACTTCTCTGCCCACTGCCTGGGGGTGCCTACAACCCAGGTCTCAGCCCATTCCTGTCCCCGCGGAGATCAAGAGATAGAAAAGGCCCCTGAGCACTTCAGGGAAGTCTCACCTCGAAGGTGTTGAGCACGTGTTGGCAAACACCCATCAGGTCATTCAGCCCTTTCCGGAACGGCTCCACAGCAGGAAGGGACCCTTGAGGAGAGAAGATGCGTTAGTGATATGGGAGGAGACTTTCAAAGGGGTTGGTAGCCCTCTCTCTCACTTTCAAAGGGGTTGGTAGCCCTCTCTCTAGACGCTCCAAGGCCTGTGGCTGTTCCCACCATGCCCAAGGGCAGCCCCCGGGACAGGGAGAGGCTCTTACACCAGGTATGAGCCCACACACTTCCCTCCTCCCAGCCCACCACCAGCAGCCTGAGAGCTCAGCCCAGTGGGGTGGCCACGGGGCAAGAACCACAGACACTTCCCCTACGGGGAAGGAGCTCCCTCGGCAGGGCAAACAGCCTGAGCACTAATTAATTTTTAGGAAATTAAAGAGTCAGCAAGCACAAACCAGATACAGACGCTCCAAGGCCTGTGGCTGTTCCCACCATGCCCAAGGGCAGCCCCCGGGACAGGGAGAGGCTCTTACACCAGGTATGAGCCCACACACTTCCCTCCTCCCAGCCCACCACCAGCAGCCTGAGAGCTCAGCCCAGTGGGGTGGCCACGGGGCAAGAACCACAGACACTTCCCCTACGGGGAAGGAGCTCCCTCGGCAGGGCAAACAGCCTGAGCACTAATTAATTTTTAGGAAATTAAAGAGTCAGCAAGCACAAACCAGATACTCGCTTCCAGGAAGTGGCTTCTACGTATCTGATGCTCAAGGGAGCAGCCCATGAGGGAGGAAGGAAATAACTCTGTCCCTGCGGGCAGCAGAGAAACTGGGGAGCTGGAAGGGCCTGGATGGAGGGCACTGGACTGGGCTGGAGGGGTTGGGGTGCTGGGGAGGGACAGGGGCACAGCAGCTGCAGGTGAGTTAGCAGAGAAGCCTTATGGTGGAAACCTGACAAAAGCAGGGGGAATTCCACAAAAGCAGGGCCCTGGCCATGAAGGAAACACACACGCAGCCATACCTCTGGTCTGGATCCGGAAGTTGATCTTGCTCTCAGAGGGGTGTGTGATGCAGTAGCCACAGAACTCCACGTCGGGGCTGCAGGAGGAGGGAGGAGCAGAGAGCCATGAAACCCAGGCCAACCCACAGCACATCTCAGGCCCGTGAGGGGCTCAGACCACCCCAGACCTGCTGGGGCTCAGGGTGTTTCTAAGATGACTGAGGGAGGGATACGCTGAAGGGAAGCTCCCCGTGTAACCTCATTCACACCCCCCCATCCACCTCCGAGCTGCAGCTGGAGCTTTGCAGGGGCAGGACATGGCTGGCAGGACCATAGGCACCATCCTGGCACCACCAGTGGTCCACTGCCAGCCCTGCAGAATTCAGACAGGGGATCCTGGAAGCCTGGAAACCTCCCTGCACACAAATCTGCTGCAGCTCTGTTGGGGAAAAGAGGCTGAGGGGTCTAGGGCACTGCAAGGATCTTCTGAGATGGATTTCAGGCTGCACAGCACCAGCCTTCGTAAGCTGGGGTGGCTGTAGAACTTCAGTGCAGGCAGCAGAAAGAACAGCCCCTTGTCAGAAGCCTGTTTGTCCTGCCATGGTGACTGACCAGAGGAACTCACATGACATTCACAACTGTCATCTGAGACCAGGCATCTAACATCCTGCTCTAATTCTTACCAGTAGATCTTCACAAACCCTCAGCGATGCCCAGCTCAATAAAATCGGGCAACCAGGGTGAACTTATTTGTACATTTTGATGGGGATAATTAACTCACGGCATCAACTCCTGCATCTCCATGCAAGCAGGGAAGGAGATCAGTTTGCTTTATGCTGGCTGTTCCCACCCTCTTCTCTGATAGCACTCATCCCAGAAGGAGACCCGGATACTGCCTGACCACGTGGACTTACACACAGCTGGGCATCATTCTACCCAGGGCCAAATAGGACATTTAGATGTCTGTCACGTGTCAGACATTAAATTTCCTCCATAATTAACCATCAAGGAGCAGTGAGGGCTGGCTGCTCCCCAGGGGATGGGGAGCTGGGAGCCATGAGTAGGAGGACAGCTGAGGGGCAGCAGCCTCACTGCCTACTCCTGTCCCCAGGCAGGTTTGTGGGGATGAAGCAGGTCCAAGGTGTCAATCTGCAGGTGAGTGTCACATCAGGTGAGGGTAACGAGGGTCAGGTGCTACCCTGGGATCCCCAAACAGGTTTGTGATGATGAGGAAGGGCTGAGGAAGGTCAAGAAGTGAGTCCCTGGGGCAGCATCCAGGTGAATGGAGTCCACAGCCCAGCAGAGGCTGAGCTGGGGATCCACACTCCTGCAACACAGCTCAGCTGGCACTGGAAGCCCTGAGTTGAGCTTAAAGGGGGCTCGTGGCTCACGGAGGTCTCAGGTGTGGCTGGTCAGGCCCAGTAAGGCCTATTAGTGCTCTCAGGGTCCTGACACCAACAGCACAAGGAAAGGGTTAATTGTGTGAAGGGAGGTGGTCGATAAGGAGCCTTTGGCACCACATCTGATATAAAGACCCCACCAGGCACCCCCAGAGGGATTTTCTAATTGTTTGCCTTGTTCCAGCAGCAACTGAGAGGCAGGACAGTGTGGAGGAGGCCAAAGGAGGAGACAGAGGTACCCTCAGCGATGCCAAGCACCACAGGGGCTCCACTTACTTCTTCATGACCATGTACCGGAGGGAGTTGCCGAGTGTGTGGTCCTCATCGTGCAGCACAAACGTGACGCAGTTTCCATCCGTCCCATCTGCCTGGACCTGCAGCAAATGAGGAAAGAAGAGCTGCTGTGAGGCTCCTGGAGGTAACAAACACCAGCACTAGGGTGAAGGATAAACTGTTGTGCTTCAGCAGAGTAACAGGGAGGGCCTGAAGGTCTGGCTGGTCCATCTCTGTGGCTCGTGTCTCAGGTGCTCCTGTGTGACCAAGAGAAGCTCTGCAGCGGAGGGAAAGGTGCAAAATTACAGACCTCAGAGAAACCTCTCCCCAGTTATCAAAGTGCTTGTGCATTCTCCTCTTCATGAGAGACAAGGAGCCTGAGGAAAGCTGTGGCTGCAGGACCCATGGTGGAATGAGGCTGGGAGTGACTTCAAGTTGGTGGCCTCCCCAGGTCCCCCCACCAGCCCATGGCTAGACAGGGATGAGAGGGACGGGCAAAAAATCCCCCGGGAGGAATGCTGTCTATCAGCAGGGAAATCTTATCCCAGCTGGAAAACAGAAGGAGCTGCAAGCCCAAATTCACATGCTGAGGATGAACCTGGGGAGCCTCAGGTTGCTGAGCCCCACAAGTAACGAGCCCCACAACTCCAGCTCCTAATCCTCCTGCTGCCTCTTGGCTCAGGCACCTGAACAGAGCTTTACCAGCCAACTCTTCCTGAGAAGACTGGTTTGGGATCCCCTCCAAAACCAACAAGCTGCCTAATTAATCGCTGAACTGTCAGAGGGCTGCTGAGCCCCTGACCTCTCCCTGGGCTCAGCGTAGCCACCGTGGAGCCTGGTGTGCCCAGACAGCCCCCAACCGCTTCCTCTCTCGGCAGCAGAGAGAGGCTTCGAGGTTAAGTGTGGAGCCAGGCTAAGGCAAGCACTGATCTCTTTGCATCCTGCCTGTGGCCAGATCCTCAACCACTCCAGGGGTTTTATAACCCCTCACGTTTTCCCTTGGGTAGCAATACCCTCTGAGCAGTCCTGTCCCTCCTTCTGCAGGAATGGCCACCACGGGGAATCTACTCAGCAGTTCTGAAGGGAAACACTGACTGATTTCCAAGGAGGAAGAGACCACTCAGACCTACAGCACAATTCAAGGCCAGGCTCCCCGCACAGCAGCTGTCACAGAAGGGTAGGTGGGATGCACCAACACCCCATCAACGATGGGGATGTTGGACTGAGAGGGTCTCCCTCACCTCCCAGCATCTCACAATCCACCACTGAAGTGGTAAGTCTTGCTGAGAGATTAAAACCAGTGAGTGGCCAAAACACCTTCCCTTGGTGTGGAAGGACAAAGTGTGACTGTCACAGGTCACTTGAGCAGCTCATGACATGGATGAAACACCCTTTTGGCTCTCCCACTTGCCAGACCCAACACCCAATCGTAGCCACTGGCCTCAGTCTCTCCTACTGCAAGGAGGTATTTCTTAAAATTATTAGCACCAGCCATACTCAAGAGCTTGTTTTTTCCAAAGGCTACAGGCTCAAACAAGAGCAGGCTACCTCAGGAGGCAGCCGTGTGCCAGGACAGGTCGCCTGGCCCCTGGTTTTGCTCCCTACATCCAGTCACAGGGTTAGAAGTGGGACCAGGTGACAAAACCCCAAGCGTCCCCCTCCCCGCCAGGAGACAGGTACAGCTTTGTTCACTGGGACAGTGACACTCCTGCCATTTGGTCACGGGAAGGGAGTTACCCCTTGGCTCAGCTGTAGCTCCGCACACACCGGGGCAGAGAGATGCTTTTCCAGACAGAGACCAAATATTTACACACACAGTGTCACAAATGTTGCATAAAAACGATTTGAAAAATAGGATAACTGGTGGGCTGAGAGATGCACTGGTTTCAGGCTCCTTCCCAGAGCTGAAGGAAATGTGGGTGTAGGAAGGAAGGGACAGACACATCTCTGTCACAGTGGCTGGGCCAACTTGTGGGGCTGCAGTAAGTGTGTGAGAGCAGCACCCCAAGGGATTTAAGCTGCCCCTGCCCCTCAGCCCAGTGAAAGCACCCAGGGCATTGATCAGGCAGAGCACAGCTCTGTCACAAAGCCCTAAGGAACACATCGTGCTGAGCCTTGTCTGCTTCACAGGCTCAGCTTCTTTCTCCTCTTTCCTGTGGGGAGTCCTCAGATGTCATTCTGGATCTCAGCAGGACCACAAGCTTTGTTGCTTCTCATCAAGCCATTGGCCCACCCAGTCAGGTATCTTGCCTCTGGCACACTGTCCAATGCTTCTGAGGAAAACCAAACCATTCTCCTGAAGGACAGATTCCTCCCTGCAGCAATCAGGTCTGTGCCCTGAGGCAGAAGGCTGAGGCTTCTCATGGTGTTTCCGAGTCTCCTCTGACAGGTGTCCAGGTATCAAACTACTCATCACAAGAAAACTTGTTCTCCTGTGAGCCAACATTTTTTTAAAAGGAAAAAAGCCCTGATGCCCTGAAGTAGGGAATTCTGCTCATCCGGAGTTTTTCTTCTTTGGTTACACACCAATTTGTTACTTTCTTTACCAAACTGTCCTTGTTCTTGTGTTAAGGGAGAAGCAGATGAAAAAGCTGATGAGATTTTGAGATCACTTTAGGACTGATCAAATTCACCTGAGCCCCTCAGAGACAGAAAAGCCTCCCCCAAGACAATGTGGGGTGCACCTCCCCAGCAAGGTGAGGATATGGCCCCTGCGACCCAACCGCCCCCTCCTCTACTGGCTATGCAAGCCGAAGAGCTGCAATCTCGCATCCCCCAGAAGCTCTCCTGCTTGGAGGGGCTGTGATTTATGACAGTGATGAATGATTTAATGTTGGATTTGGTGTCTAGGCAGTGCTGTGGTGGATGCATTACACAGTGCTGAGATAGATGGGATCAGCGAGACACAAAGCGGATGGGGAACAGCCCTACAACTCGCTGCACTTTATGTGTAACTTGTCTTTTATGTCATAATACAGTCCTTTGCTGGTCTTCACGAGCCAGTATCGCTTTTTGTGTGTCCTCTGTCTTCTGTATGGTCCTGCACTCCTCAGGGAGGGATCTGCTGGTTTCTTGCCAAGGGCCTCTCTAGGAACTGCAGCTCCTCAAAGATCAATTTCACTCATCACATCAGACCTGCAGGATTAGGATCGGGCTTCCTGGTGCAATCCCAACTTTCAGCCTGTGGCCCAAACAACTGGCAAGAAGAATATGGCTCTACAGAGCCTGAAAAAGGTAATTAGCAGAAGCCAGACTATTGCTAAGAGATTCTAGGGTCTGTTGCATCATTAGAAGTTTAGGGGCTGCAGATTGAGAGACTATGGAAAACCATTGTACTAAGCCTTCCCCAAAGGCAGCTTTTAAAACCAGGCAACTTACAGAGCCCACTTGTTTCTCCTGTACGGATGTCCTGGTGCTCAGGACAGGTGCCCCTGACAGACAGACAGGCAGAGGGCATGCCCGAAGATCCTGTACCAGCTCTCCCTGCCATCCTGTCTTGGTGAAAGCTGAACCTGCAGCCCTGTTAGCGTGAAGTGCAGTGCCATCTAGTGCCTTCTGCTGCCTGCAGCGGGCACTGGGGACAGAAAGACGGTCCATGAACTCCTGCCGTGGGCACTGGAGATGGAAAGAAGGTCCAGAAACTCCTGCCACAGGGCTCAGCATCCTGAAAGGGGTGAAAGAGAGGAGACGAGGGACGCTGCCGGGGCCTACAGCTGACAGGCAAAGCCACCCACGGCCTGATGCCACACAATGCTGAGCAATTCATCTTTAAAAAGCAAGCCTTGTTTTAGAAAATGCTAGTCCTAGCTAGTCGTAAAATAGGTTAGTCCTGACCTCTAGCTGCTTCTGTTCCCTATAGGACAACCTCATACACCTAAACATCAAGAAATTCAACTGAAAGGTTGGCAGGAGGGTGCTTTTCCTCCTATTTCAGGAAAGACTGCCCTTTTCCTTAGAACCATAGAATGGTTAGAGTTGGAAAAGACCTTAAAGATCATCGAGTTCCAACCCCCTGCCCTGGGCAGGGACACCTCCCACCAGACCAGGTTGCTCCAAGCCCCATCCAGCCTGGCCTTGAACCCCTCCAGGGATGGGGCAGCCACAGCTGCCCTGAGCAACCTGTTCCAGAGTCTCACCACCCTCACAGTAAAGAATTTCTTTCTGGTATCTAATCTAAATCTCCCCTCTTCCAATTTAAAACTGTTACCCCTTGTCCTGTCACTGCACTCCCTGACAGAGTCTCTCGCCGGCTCTCCTGTAGCTCCCTTCAGACACTGGAAGGCTGCTCTAAGATTCCTCAGCTTCTTTCCTCTCTGCCGTTCGCAGAGCCTGTGAGACCCGCCGCTCCGTGCCCCGAAAACCCAGCGGCCTGAGGCGAAGCAGCCGCCCGGCCCCGGGGGCGGTTCAGGCCGGGGGAGCAGAGGGAAGGCTGGAAGGGGCCGCAGCGTGGGGCCGGTCCGCAAAGCGACCGGGACGGGACCCATCGCCAGCCCCGGGGATGCGGCTGAGGCGCCTTTCCCTCACATCTGCCCTCACTGTCGTGATTTATCCCGACACCGACACCGCACACCCTCTCTTCTCCTCCTCCTTCCTCACGGGCCCATGCTCTGAGGCCCCACCGCTGAGCCAAGCCCGGGAAGTGCCGGGGAGGCCCCGGCTGCCGCTGCCAGGGGAGAGCAGCGCCTCAGGTTCCACCGGCCGCGCAGCCCCGTCCCCAGCCCCGTCCCCCTCGGCCGCGCTCCCTCACCGTCTCCAGCGCGGCCTTCCTCTCGCCCTCCTCCGCCATGGCCGCCGGACTACAACTCCCGGCAGGCACCGCGCGGCACCACCACCCCCTTCCGCCGGAAGCGCGTCGCGGCGGCCCGGTACCGGGGCGGGGGGGGCGGTGAAGGAGCGCTGCGGGCGGCGGCGCCCGGGGAGCGCTCCCTCCTGCCGCGGCGGCGGGACAGGACCGGACCCTCCGGAGGGCCGTCTCCGGTGCTCAAACGGGCGGGTCCGTCTCCGGTACCCCCCCGGGGGCGGTAGGCCGCAGCGGGTCCGGACCGGCTGACTGGGCCGGGACCAGGTGACTGGGCCGGCGGGCGGTGGGGCTGGGCCCGCAAGGCCCGGAGGGTGGTCGGGCGGTCCCCGTGGGCCGCTCCTCCGGCCGGGCCGGTGCTGGCGGCGGTCAGAGGCCTCGCTCGGTGGC